ACTGATCCAGTCACACTATTTGTCCACCCCTAGGTTTGCACAACACAAACCTGGCACCTCTGGGCGGCATGCACCAACAGTGGCCCGTGGGCACCCCAGGCAAGCAACGGCTTCCACAAGCGAATGAAGCCTCGTCGTGTATCACGGGGGCCAGGCCCAGAACCCGGTTCACATGATCGTGGGTGCCTGGCCTGACGTGTTCAAGCCACGGTGAGCCTGTTCCTGGAAATCCAAGCGCACACATGCCCTTTGTTCCGGCGTGCTCGCCCAGGTGACGGGGGTTGTGCAAAGGTTAGGCAATCCTCATATAGCCTTAGAAGAGACTGTGGGTTATGTGAAGGTTGTTTTGCCATTGCACGACACACACTCCAGGATCAAGCGACATGACAAGCTGCAGGTGTGGTTTGAACATTCAGGAGTCCAGGCTGCATCCACTGCATCCCTCCATGGTTTAAATAAGCCGGATGGGCATTTTGAGTGTATGAACCAGCCCAGTGCTTCTACAGGGTCTTGGGCAGAGAAGGGTTTTCTCCATCACCTGCTTACCTGATCCTTTAAACTAGAAGTGCAAAGGTGTAATTTATTTTGTTTGTTAATACGTATATAGAGCTTAATAGAATAAAATTGTGAACAACAATTTAAAATCACACTGCAAAATATGAGAATTAGGCCTCAGACACAAAGTATCTGTTGTATACCTATGCATACCCCAGGCCCATTCGCTATGGCTTGGCGCTCTTAGGACAGGTGCCTGGAGAAAATTGGATGCAGTTGAGGTCAAGGGGACTCTGGATACAAAGGCTGGATGGTGCAGGAAGCCTTGATCCTGAAGGAGCCTGTACTCAATGGAGCCACTTTATCTAGGTGTCCCCCAATCCGGCACCCCCTTAAGATGTATTAGAATGTAGCACCCATACTTCTAACACCCACAGAAATTATAGGAGCTGTGAGCTGACCAATCTAGGAGGCTTCAGGTCAGGGAAGAGAGTTCGACCCCCTAAAGATCACATGCGCAGCTTGGGAGGACTAAGGGGGCAAGTTTGAAGCGGATCTCCGGATACGACGATGTGTCTACAAGCAAATTTCACTATTTGAACACAGTGTGCCAAATGCCCTTTGTCCCAGCAGACAATTGCGATGCGTTTCTTGGAAATTTCCCATGTTGTTTTCTGTAAATCTCTTCACAAGAAGAAAAAGGGTGAGCTATAAATGCAGTGGAGGAGGAGGAAGAGGAGGAGGAGCAGGATAGATCATGCATGGGAAGTGGAAGGAAGGCCAGGCTACAAAGGAGGAAGGCAAGCTTAGTATGGGATGGCAGGGGAGGCTTGATGATCTGGAGACTGGAAGCAAAGCCCTATGAGGAGAGATTGATAGAATTGGGCATTTTCAGCCTCAAGAAGAGAAGACTGAGGGGAGACGGGAGCATCTACAAGGTTTCCAAAGGTTGTCATGAAGAGACAGGATCTTTCGATCATCCTAGAGCAGCGGTCCCCCAAACACCAAGGACCAGTTTCGTGGAAGACAATCTTTCCCTGGACTGGGGTGGAGCGTGGGGGACGGCTTCAGATGATTCGAGACAATGGACCCCTCACAACGGAAGAGCAACGTTCTGCTACGATGACAGAGCTGCGGGAGAATGAATCGCTCAAACAAGACAGGCCACCAGCTTTGGTCTTAGTGAAGGAACCGGCCCACGGTGCTCAGATAACGATTCTTAATAATTAACCCACCTGTTCACGAAGGAGCTGCAGCCTCTGCTCGTAGCTAGAATGTGCTGACACTCATCCTGCGTGTAGCATTTTCTAGAAGAACCTGCAAAGTGCTATACCATCCTTTCCCTTGCAGGTCTTGTGAGGTAGGTCAGTATTTCTCCCCATGCCAACTTAAGGTATCTGGGTCCATCTCCTTCCCCTTCAAACCTGCCTTCATGCAAACTGGTGCCCAGGTCGGGGAAGGCCAAGGTATGAGCATGAAGGCAGGAGGCAACCTGTCGAGAAGTCTCACGCTCTTCTTCTGTGCTGGAATTTCTGGAGACTTCATGGGTGGATTTGGTAGTCGCTTCCAGGCTGTGGAACTTTCCAAAAAGGGAGGCCGGGTTTGCCCCATACTGAGAAACTTCCATCAGCATGGAAAGCCATTTTTGTTGTAAGCCGCCCCGGTTTTTGTTGTAAGCCGCCCCGAGGCTTTGTTGCGATGGGGGCGGCATAAAAATGTTTTAAATAAATAAATAAATAAATAAATAAATGATACTTTTATTCAAGCAAACCTTTGGTGTCCCAGCAGAACTGCTCAGCTGGATGCTGTTTTTATTCTATCATCAATGTGTTGTTCATGTTTATTGCATCTTGGCTTTTTATTCTTTTAATCAAGTTTTATTCATGACCTGGGGCTTCCTTGAGTGTCAGTTTTCTTGGTAGAAAGGTGGAGTACAAAACAAATAATGTCTTGCAGAAGCAAGATATGCAATTTTAAAACAAAGAAATTGTCCTCAGTAGGCCTTTGAGCTAAGATATTAACTGATTCTCTGTCTTCTATGAATTAATGGAAAAGTTTAAAAAGAACCTGAGGAATATGGGCCTTTCATACCAGATCAAACTGTCCACCAAGCTCAGCATTGTTCACTGTCACAGAGGCTCTCAGATCTTTTAGGCCCATGATCATTTTTTTAAAATCAAGATGCCAAGGTTGGATCTTGGAACCTTCTGTATACAAAGCAAGCCCTATCAGTATTTGGGACAATTTCTGCATGCAATATTGTGCAAAGCGACGCTTGTTCAGCCCCTCGAGCGTCTGAGCTCCCAGTTCCATAAAAGTCAAATGTCTAGTCCTCATGGCTGTGAAAGAAGCATTATGGTCTATGACACGATTTGCATTTCTCTTAAACTACTTATTTTCCAGACATTGCAACAGCTAGGCCAGAAAATTCCATGCATACAAGGAATTTGGGCCATATTAATTTATTAATTTCTGTAGTGTATTTCTGTACGGCCTTTCTGATACCAACTGAGGCAATTTACAAAAAGTTTGGCAAGATTTATTTATTTCACTTTAACTTTGAATGCCTCCCACTAATCCAGATGGATTCTCTAGGCAGCTTACAGATAAAAGCCACAATCAAATAAAAACATGGCAAAACCTTAAATGGTAATTTAAAAACCAAGTTGAAATGTGTTTTGATCTGAATGCAGAAACTAGTTAAACTCCAAAAGATGCTTGGGCTACTGCTAGTATCAGTGACATGTGTAGGAACACCAGTTGCTGGGGAACCCGTAGGTGTTTTTGCACTCGTGTCCATGGGCAGCTGATTGTAAACTGCGCAAACTGAATGCTTCTTACGAACCTAGAGCCCTACAACTAAGCACAGGCCCCTAGGCTGGGAAAGAACCTGCCGAAACCCCACACTTGGGGCTTTTGCCAGTTGGAGGAGTTGGCAGCCCTCTGTTTGGACCCACAGGCTGACCCGGTGTGTGTTCAGAAGTGCATCCCCCCTGCTACAACTTAGGCACTGAATAGTAGTGTCAGCACCAATTCAGTGTAACTTTTTTTAGTACTAGGTTGCTCAGGAGAGGGCAGGCGTTGAGCTGGTGCAAGACACGCCTTCTCAACTTGAATCCAAAGGTGCTCCAGAGGAGGCAGGTGTGAAACAGCGGTGCCCACACAGCGCCGATTACAATGCAGCCCCTGAGCCCTGCAGCCAGGTGGCTTCCAGCTATGTATCCTGTTCTTAGCTCAGCTCTGGTGGCCAGAAATGGTGGGTCCAAGCCATGAGGGACACTGGTCCAGCTCGGGAGCCTCCATGGTCCACTTGGGGCATGGGTGGAGATGACTGAGAGAGGGTGCTATTATCTATCTCCCGCCCCCTGCTGATGTAGAGCGCAAAGGTTTCTGCCTAGCAGCTGCAAACGCATGCCAGAAGCGACTGGTGTTCGGCTTGCTTTCAATACCAACGGTGAGCAGAAGTCACTGAAGACCCAGCCAAACCGAAAAGGACACCCTCCGCGCGCAAAACGTGCACGACTCCTTGGCCTGCTAGCTTTCTATTTGTGGGGAGTGTCTGGGGGCTGGCTCCTTTAAAAATCAGCATCAGCCCAAGCATGGCAGCTCCCGGCCCCGCATTCTGAAGTGCCGCCAGCCCAGCCCTGACTCGGGTCGCCCAGCGCAGCAAAAGTCAGGTCGAAGAGCGATCTCCGTAAGAAAAGCGGCCTAGGAAAAAGCCTCTCCGGATTCTAAACGCGAGACGGGCACGGGGCCTCCAGTCCCAGCGACGCCCCCGCCCCACACGCGCGCTTCTTTTCTAACTTTTGGGGGGGAAAGAAGCCCTGTTGCTCGGCTTGAGAGCGCTGCGGCTCCCGGCCCAAATCGCCGGCGGCGACTGCTAAGCCGGCCGCCTCTGCCCAGCAGCTCCCCCGGCGAAGATGGCCGCTGGAGCGAGCGGCACAAGGCCGGCTCTCCCCTCCCCAAGGCGAGACCTCCCTCCTGGCTCCAGCACGACTTTAAAAAACAAAGCATAAGAATATGCAGGAGCGGCAGCTACGCCAGCCAGCTTCCCTCGCCCGCCCGCCCGCCTGCCTGAGCCAGCCAGCCGCCCGCCCGCCCCGCTCCTGACTCGGAGGAGGCGTGTCGGGGTAGAACGCCGCCGACTTTTTCCTCCTCCTCCTTTCCCCCCACCCCGCACTCCTTGTTTGTAACTGGCAACGCCGGCTGGCCAATCAGCGCGCGAGCCGGCTCCGGGCAACATTCCATTTCGGAATGTTGATACAGCAAGCGAGCCAATGGTGAGCGGCGAAACGAGCGGGGAGGGGGAGGAGTTATTTTTGCTCCCCCGTCGCCGCTTTCCGAACCCGGCGCTCTTCGCCTGCACGAGCTTCGCGAGGGGCGGGGGCAAGAGCAGAAGCCGACGCCAGCGCGGGCAGGCGGCAGGGAGGGGGCGTGGTCCGGGGGGGCGTAGGGGGGGGGGGGGGGGGGCAGAGCCGCTGGCTGGCTGGAGGGAAAGTCGGAGGCAGCGCGGCGGGGGCTTCACCCTGCACGGCTCCTCCTGCCCCCCCCGGAGAAGGGGGCTCACTGCACCCCCCGCCGCCGGCCCCCTGTCCAAAGCCCGGATCATGGAGCCCAAGCCGCGTCTTTTCAAACGGTCCGCCTCCCCCGGCGGCAGCGGCAGGATCTGCTCCCCGCCGCCCGGCTTGACGTCAGCGGGACCCTGCTGCCCTGACAGCAGCCCCCCGGCGGCCGGCTTGTACTGCGGGGTGATCTCCGCCTGCAACAAGCCGCTGCCCGCCGCCGCCAGCAACGCCGTGTACACGGTGCTGGTGGAAGACCCGGCGTCGCTCCGGAGGCGATCCCGGCGCAGGAGCGCCGGCGAGGACGGCGCCGGCAAGAACCCCGGCGGCAAAGGCAGGCTGCAGCTTCTGCAAAAGGTGAGGCGAAGAGAGCGCCGGGCCCCGTCCCGGCGCGGGGAGCCACGCTCCGGGCCGTCGCTGTGCTGTCAGGGCTGCCCGAGGAGCGGCGGCGGGTGGGTGTGTCCCGGCAGGGCCTGCAGCGCCAGCCACTCTGGAGAGCGCGCAGAAAAGGGCGCTGACAGCCGGCGAACTTGCCAAGTTGCGACGCGCGGGCGGGCCGGCCGGCCGGCCGGCCGTCGAGCGTCCTCGCGGCGATTTTCTGCCCTGGAGGACTTCTGCGGGGCGGGAGAGGAAGGGGGTCTCCCGCCGCTGGCTGAGTCAGGGCAGGATCGCGGCGGAGGAAGGCGAAGGCAATCATCTGGGGGCGGCGGGAAGAGTAGGGGGGGTCCTCGCACGTACGCATTTTTTTAAATAAACTGGAGACGCCTAGAATGGGGGAGGTGGATTTTCGTGAAGACGGAGTGCACTCGCCAAGTGGGGGGCGATGTTAGAAGGGGCGCCCATTGCCATATAAGGCAGCTGGCGGTGGGGCGGCGAGTTGCGTCGGGGGCCCTTCCACACGACACGCTGAAGAAGCGCCACCGTTGCGTGCACAAGGAGGAATTGAAGGGGAGGGCTTCCTTTGCTAGGGACACCAGGGCGCAGTGCCGGTGGGGTGATGGTTCTGCCTAGAACCCGGGGGAGGGGGGGCGGAGTCTGGCCGTGCTGTCTGAGCCGAGGCGTGCTTTACTCGTGAGTAAGTCCTACTGTGGCCAGCCAGAGGGCTGCTTTTCCGTGAGCATGCATAGGAGTCAATCTGATTTTGGGATTTGCTCGGGAGTAGGAGTTGCTTGTTTGTTTTGCCGTGGGGGGCGCCAGCTTCTACCTGCGCGCCCGGCGCCCAGCCGAGTCTCTGCCCCGGTGAGCTTGCAACGACCGCGAGGCAGGGCCGGCGTTTGCGGCCGCTCCTCCACGCCAGATCGCCGCTTCCAAGGGCCGGCCGGCGCCTGCGGGCTTGTCGAGCGGGCGAGCTCCGCCCGGGCTTTTCCCTTCGCGGGCTGCATGGGCGCGGCGAGAGCAAAACTTTCTCCCCCTCTCCCCGGCACCCACACTCCGCCCCAGCCCCGGCCCGGTTCTCTCCTTGGCTAAAAGATGGCGCCTCTCGGGGCTGCCTGCGATGAAAGTTTTTTGACCGAGGGGAGGGCGCTGCAATGGGCCGGGACTTGGGAGCGCAGCCGCCTCTCGCCCGAGCCCATCCCCGCCCCGTCGGCTCTCCACCCCTGCGTGGCGGGGCGCGAGTCGCTTCGAGGGACGGCCCATCAATCATTCTCCGCGCACAGGGCGCTGCAGCACGGGCGCTGCCCGGGGCTGGGGCGGGGGGCGGCGGCGAGGCGGGGCTGCCGGTCCAGGGGGTGGGCTTATCCGCCTAGATTTATGGGTGGGCGGAAAGCGGCGCCTTCCTCCCGGAGCGCCGAGCGGAGGGATCCCACGTGCTCTGGGCGGGGGAGGGATTCGGGGTGGGGTTTTAAAAGAGCGGGAGCGGCGGAGGGGGGGGGGCTGGGTGCAAGGCTTGCGTGGGCAAGCTCCGGCTAAGTTCTGGGACCGCGCTCTGGGCTCTGCGTTTTCCGCAGGTTTGGAACACGCTTCCCCCTTGGGCTCGGAAAGCAGACCTATCAGTGAGCAGTCTGTGTAACCAAGTAATCGTTTCCCAGAACAAGCTCTCCTCCTCCTCCTAGGCTACCAGTCCCCACCATGTACCACCTGGAGCAGGGGTGCACACTCTCGGGCTTGGGAACCAAAGCTGCCAGGTCTGGAGCTCCGATGGCCGGGGTTCCCCAGAAAGCCATGCCTCTGTCCTGGCCTTGCTGTCTTTCTCCCGATCCCTGCAGAAAGCAGCTTTTCCAGCTTCTGTGCTGCCCTCCAAGGTAGAAATGCCTCTCCGAAGGACTGGGCAATCAGAATTGAAGCTGAAATACACTGGCGCCTGGGCCTGGCTCTTTTGCTTACGGTCGGATGTGACCCTTGTAAAACACGGTGGGTGAAAAGGGATCTGTGGAGTTTGCTTGTGTTGCTCGCATGCACGAGCAGGAGGGTGCCTGGCCAGGTTGTGGGCGTCCCATTGCCGCAACTGGTTGGTCACTGAGTGAGCAGGAAGTTGGACCAGAGAGGCCTTTGGCCAGATCGGCGTGGCTGCTGTGACCATCCTGCCTCCCTGGGCGTCTCCGCTTTGGACGATGCTGCTCGGAGCTGCTTTGGTCTGCCCAGCTCCTTTCAGAGTTTGTATGTGTCTGGCTGTTGGTGTTCCACTGATACGGGGGTCATGGTGGTGGATGCTGAAGAGGACCCTCAAGGACGTGGAGAAACGGCTGCCGCATCCTGCTTGCTTAACTCTGCAGGGTGCCAGTGCCAGCCCTCTTGGCAGTCCGCAGTTTGGGAAATGCCGTCCTAGCAGGAGACCCAAAGACTGGCCTAAAACCTTGGCGGGCTTTGATTTGAAAGAGAAAGAGAAGGAAAAAAGGTGCAGCGGGGCATGTCGGTGCAGGAGATTAAAAGTGGGGTATAAATTGAAATAAAGGCTTGGAATCCTTGTCCTCTAAGTGCAGAATGGGCTTTTCCACCTTTCTGTGGAACTGAGCTAGAGGGAGCAGTCCAGCTTCCTCTTCTCTAGGGAATGGGCTTGTTTCACGGGCTCATACGCCGGTGGCTCCAGGCTGCAGTGGAAAGGGCAAGGAGCAAGGTGAGGCGATGTGTCAGAGGGTCAGCGTTGGTCCAGAGCAAAGCAGTGGGGGTTCCGTTACTGCAAGGCTGGCGCAAGGCTGGCGTCACGGAAGGACCAGCCTGAATGTGATCTTCCAAAGGGTTGCGGTGTGCCAACTCTAACTCTTGCTGTAATGGCAGTGAAGACCTGTGAGGTTCCATCCGAGCTTTCGTGTCTTCAGAAACGATGGGTTTCTTCCTTTTCTTTTCTATTTGGGGTTGGGATTTTGCACCTGAGAATAAACAAGCTTGAGCAGGTCAGTGTTGCTTCTGATGAGCTTGATAAGTCTGTCAGTTTCAAGCCATTGGTGCCTGGGCTTTCTAGTTGGAAGAATGGAGGGGCTGGGGAAGACCATCATGCCAGGGAAAGCTGCGGGCAGGAGAAGAGGGAGACCCACTAGGAGCACAATTCCAGGAGGGAAGCCACAGTCTTGAGTGTGCATTTTGGAGGGCTGTCATTCAGAGGGTCACCATATGCCAGAGTCAACTTGATAGCACAGAACAGCACTGGCAAGAAAGACTAAACCAGGGAAAGAACAAGGAACAATCAACAGGAATTTAAAGTCCAGCTTAAGACCCACGAGATAACCAGCAGGCTTACAATTTTTTGGGAATGCTGAATGACCAACAGGGGGACATACTATCAGACCAGGAGCAAATAGAGGGTGCAGAAGAGATGAAAGGGTGACCAACTCCTTTGAAATGGAATCCCTTGAAGAAGAGCTGCAGTATTAGAAAGCCAAGCGAAAGCTGCTCCGAAGGCACTCTCAAAGAATGAAGCCCCTGGAGTGGGTAGGATACCCACAGAAGAATCCCAAGCTGCAGAAACCGAATCCGTTCGAATCCTAACAACAGCCTGCCACCCAAGATGGAAAGCACAGCGATGGCCCATGGACTGGAAACACTGAATATATATCCCAGGCCCCAGGAGCTGAGACGCAGAAGAGTGGAGCCCCCACAGGACCATCGCACTGGCCTCCCACACGAGCAAAGTGATGCTCAAAGGGTTGCAACAAAGAATATCCCCCTGTGTGGAGCGAGAAATGCCGGACGTCCGAGCTGGATCCCGAACAGGAAGGTGCAAACAGGCATTGGCTACTGGAGCCCACTCAGGAATTTCACAAGATGATCGATCTGGTTTATGGACCACAGCAAAGCCTTCGACTGCGTGGCTCACAGGAAGCTTTGGATGGCCCTGAAGGAAGTGGGGGTGGCTCAGCGCTTGACTGTCCTGATGCGTCACCTGCATCACGGACAAGAAGGTGCTGTGAGGACAGGACATGGAGAAACAGAAAGGTTTCCCATCAGCAAAGGTGTTAGACAGGGATGCCTTTTATCTGCCTATTTGATCCTGCAGAACATATAAGGAAACCTGGATTAGGATCAGAGGACGGAGGAGTGAAAATTGGCAGAAGAGACATCACTGATTTTAAGATACGCAGATATCATACTTGTGACAGAAAACAGTAATGACTGAAAATGACTCCTGATAAAAGTGATGGAAGCAAATAGGAAAGCAGTAATGCAGATTTTAAGAAAATTATGAATACAAAATGAATAATATTAAGAAAACAAAAATCATTTCCACAGAAGAATTACAGAACTTTGCTGTTAATAATGAAAAAATTGAAATTGTTAAAAGTTTCATGTACCTTGGCTCAGTCATCAATCCAGTGACTGAGGCCAAGAAATTCAAAGCAGAGGGAGACTGGAAGGGCAGTGATATGGAAACTAGAAACGATCCAGTGCAAGGATGTTTCACTGGAGACCAAGCCCGAGCTCCTCCACACTCTTGTATTCCCCATCACTGTGTCTGGGTGTGGAAGCTGGACAGGGAAGGAAGCTGGCAGGAAGAAAATGCACGGGTTCAAAACATGGTGTTGGGGGAGAGCTTTGGGAATACCCTGGAATGACAGAAAGACCAACCAGTGGGTCCTAGATCCAATCAAGCCAGAGCTTTCCCTAGAAGCAAAATAACAAAAACACAAAACTGAAACTATTGTACTTCAGGCACACCAAAAGAAGGCAAATGGGGAGGACAGTCATGCTAGGGAAAGCCAAAGGCGGAAGACAAAAGGGAGGATCAAATAGCAGATGGGTTGATCCCATAAAGGAAGCCACAGCCTTGAATTCACAAGAGGTGGGCAGGAGGCCATTTATTCATAGGGTCACCATAAGATGGCACATAGCAATCATAAGGACTAGAAACTTATGTTGTGGTTGTTTGTTTATTCAAGCTGAGATGTGTAGGATTAAAAAACCTCTGATCAGAAGTTTTGAATTTGTACACAGGGAAAGTCTCTTTCCTAGAGATAATAAGATATGCTAGCAGCTGTAGGCCTTTTTCCTGTCCAAATTTGCATAGGATTGTGCTTTTAGGTGCTTTTCCAGGCTCTCCTTTGAAACAGAGCAAATCTTCAGGGAAGTTGATTTCTTAGCCCTGGATCCCTGAGATAATGGGGAGGGGGCAGTTCTGTTGCCCAGCCGGGGTTTCCAGCTCCACAGCATTTACAAATAAGCTGTAAGGCAGAGTGAGATAAGAGGCCAGGAAGGACTGGGCTTGAAGCCAGGGAAGGGTGGCGGGGCGGGGAAGAGGAATTTTATATGTCATGGCTCTTGACAAAATATTCTAGGGTGGCTGTTCCCCCAAAGCCAGGAAGCTAATGCAGGGACATGAAAGGTATGGGTGGCAAGCTGTTGGCCGTGCAAGTCTCCACTCGCCATTTCTTGGGCTAAGTGGCCGGTTGCCTATACCTGTACGAAGTTGTGTGTGACAAGCAGAAAATCCATTAGGGGCTCTTCCAGTGCTGGTAAGGAAAAGGCTTTGCCTGTTGAACTGCTGCCTTATGTGGCAGTTCCTGACTGGCCTTCTGGGAAAGTGGCAGCCATGTTCCTGGGGCCCTTAGCGTGGCCAACTGATTCTGCCCTAGGACTTGAAGGAGCTGCATCTTGGGTGGCGGTGGGGCTAGTGACGTCTGATGGCACTTGCCAAAAGAATAACATGCCACCACCAGCGAGATCGTGCCTGTCTCTGGCTGACTTGGGTGGGTTTCCCTGAGCCCTTTGGCTGACACCAGTGGCGCTGTGGTTGCTATGAATGCCAGGAGCTTCCAGTCTTGGGGTAGAAGCGGTGGGTGTGTTGGCTGGAAACGTGGTGGATTGTGGCCTCCCTGGCTGGCCTGTGCAACGGGATTGACGGTCTTGAGTCCAGAGCTCAGAAGCCAGCTCCTCGGACGGCTTTCTTTCTAGCTGCGACTCCTTAGTCTTTGACTTCTCGGAGGCTGCTGCCACCTGCGAGGCTAGTCTGTCTTGGAGTGAGCACGGAAGAATTGCGCTCCATGTTAGGACTTGCTTATCGGCTCTGGAAGGGTTTTGCAGTGTGAGATGGCCTGGATTTCAGTTGGAATTGGGGCAAGTTTGCACGCTGCTTTCGTCTGCACCTGCTCTGTTTATCTAAGATAAAGTCAGGGTTGACTCCTGAGCTTTGAGAGCGGAGCCAAGCCCTTCCTGTCTGTTCATGTGGACGGGTGAGGGGGGGACTATAGGCATGCTTTTTTAGTGCTAGCCTGAGCAGAGCAGGTGGTATCCTAACAAAATTTTCCCTTTGTGTCAAGCAGCAGGTGAAAGGCACCCCTTGGGCTATGCATGCCAGGGTTCCGAGAGCTGAAATGGGCATTTGTGTGGCAGTGCCGGCAAGCTCTCGTGAAAGAGCAACCTGCCGTGTCCCCACCACCTGTGATACTCACCACGTAACTAGTGGCGAGCAACGTCATGGGGTTTAAAGCAGGAGCACTGGGAACCTTTCAGCTCAAGGCAAATTTTATTTTGGAGAAGTCTTTGGGGGCTGCATTTTGGTGGGGGGCGTGGTCAAAGGCAGAAGGGGTGGAGCCTAAATGCAACACACACACCCCCGCAAAATGTAGGATAACACTTTCGCCGCTTTACAGAATTCGGGAATGGGCTTGGGGCACTGCACAGAATCCTGGAAGCCACCGAATGATTCGGGGGAGAGGGTGTGTCCAAAGGAAGGGGGCGTGACCCTTGGGGGAATCCTGGATGTGGCCCTTGGGCTGGACATTTTGCACCCCTGCTTCAAAGGACTTGCCAGCTCTCTCGCAAGTTCATGGTCTGACGTTCCCACTTACTTCGCGCCCATCTTAGCACCAGGCCCTTCTTGTCTTCTTTCAGAGCCCCAGTCACTGCAACGGCAAAGTGTTTCCGGGAGAAGCAGAATCCATCAACGGCCAGCTGCGGTCCCTCTCCGATCCGTTGGGGCTGAAACAGCCGGAAGAAGAGGCGGCAGCTTTGCGGCTCCTGGAACAGAGTCCTTTGCACCAGTCGGCTTACATCCCTGTGCCCAGGCAAAGGTATGGTCACTGCAGGACATCTTTGCGCGGAAGGTCACAAAGCCTCGCTGAAGGTGTTTGGGGAACATATTTAAATAGACTGCTTTTCCTTGCTGTGTCGGAAGCCCTTTGGCTTAGTCATTTGATTGGCAGTGAATCTGTGAGATTTCCCCAAAAAGCATGTTTGGGGCTGCAGCCTTCTTGCTGGAGCCATGCCCACCACAGTGAAATCTTATGGGTGGCTGTCCAGGAGATTTGCAGGCTGGTGGTCGAAATGCTGCTTTTTTCCTGAAGTTTTTGTCATTCGTGTGTTCGACCTTGAATGGTACCGGACTGTGATTCAGTTGCTACTGCTTAGCTCTAGGTTTGGTCCCTGGTGAAAGCGTGGAAGCATTTTTTGCACGGGTTTTTGCTATCTCTTCCAGCTTTGGGGATCCTCCAAGCATTGTGTTCCCTCCTTGTTTTGCATGGAAGTTGTTCTCTTGGCTATGCAAAGACACTCGCTTGAAAGGTGGAGCACTCACTCCAATTAAGCACCCTTCTGCTGCTGAGATCAGCAGGATCGGGGTGGATTTTCTTCTGCCGGGGTAGCTTGGGAGCCTCTCGCAGGCCCTTCCTCCATGGTGGAATTTGTCCCATGTGTCACGCTCCTGCCAAAGGGCTTCATGCCAGAACTGATACTGTTTCCTCGCCTGTGTTCTGCTGCGTGTTGCTGGTGATCCATGTGGCGACCGTTTAACTAGTATGATGCATTGCACTGATGCTGCCTGCCTAGCATTCAGATGGCTTTGCACAGAAAATCCGGTTGTAACACTTCTGGGAATTTAGAAACTGTGGGAACTCCTCCACCTGCTCTGCTGAAAATTGAACAGATTTGTGGGGAAACGAACTGTATGCAATGCTTTCGTTCTTATCGGGTCAGAGCTGACTTGAAGTAGTAATGAAGGGCGCAGGCTTCTGGGGGGTGCCCCTAATTTTCCAAACTTGGAGCGTTACGTGCATTTTAAGTAGGGCAGGAGGACAGCTCCTCTTGCTGTGCAAAGCAGGTCACGGGTTGCTCCTGGCTCTCTAGGTGCTGCAAGGATATATCATTGCTGCCCCTCTGCCTCTTCGCCAAAGTCAGTTTTACAGCTTTAGAGACCGCAGTAGGTGCCCGTCCTTCGCTGTTGTGAGGTGGGGATCCAAGAACCACGGGCAGCTCTGAACTTGGAACTGCATCTCTGCGCGTTGAGCTGAAGGTCTGCAGAATCCTGGGGCCTCTGAGATGCTGTCCAGGGCAATGCGCTTGCTTTCCAGGGTGCACTCCTTAAAGTAACACTGGGTCATGTATGGGGGTGTATCATGTACTTAGGGGGTGGCAAGAAGGTTTTGGGTATTCAGCCCGCCATTCTACTTTTTAACCATATACCCCCATCGGCTGCAGTCCTGAACGTACTCGAGTGAGCTGCGTTGGACTTGGCAGAGTTTGCCTCTGAGTAAACAGGGCCTAAGTGCAGACTGCAAGTGCCATGGCAACAGTAGAAAAAGATTAGCGATCCTGGAGGACTGGTGGTTATTTTATTTGTATATTATTTACGGAGATGGATTAGAATACTTTATAAATAGCAGCACAACTCTCTCTTTCTGCAGTCCAGCCTTCCATAACTGGTGCCTTCCAGATAGTTTGGATTCCGACACCCATTGGCCCCAGCAAGCATGGTCAGAGATCAGGCCTGTTGTGTGGTGGGTGTCGGGTAGGGGAAGACTGCTTTAAACTGTGTCCAGCAAGATATGTTGCTTCTGCTTCCGAATGCTCACTTTGAGCTCCGTAGACTTTAGAAAATAGGAGGCGGTCCCAGCATCTCAATGTTCTCCATTCTGTAACATTTGGAAGTACTTTCCCAGCATCAGGTCCCGAGAGTGTTGCTTGTTTTGCAATCCAAATAAATGCACCAGCAGTGCTATCGAATCTCAAATCAGCAGGAGGAATTGGTGACAATAGCATTATTCTAAAAAGCTGCTTGAGAAAGTGTTTTACTCCATCATTACAGGAGGTCTGAAAGTTTCCTGTTCTTCTCTTAAAAGAAAAAATCCTCTAAATGTTTCATATCCCTCCTCGTTTAAAGGTACATCAGGAATAGTATCTCCATACTGCCAGTTCCATGTGTGTGAGGGGAGGTTTTCAGGGTTTTCTGCAGGCCAGGGGTGGGCAGAGAGTAGCTCTCCAGATGTTTGCACATCAGCTCCCCATTTTCCTGACCCTTGGCCATACCAGTGGGAGTATCCGGGAGATGTCTGCAGACAGTTGGAGATCTAGTTTCGGCTCACCCCCGTCTTAGGCCACTCAGAGTTGATGGCAGAAGTAATATTTGAACGGAAGCCTTCCTAGTTTGTCACACTAAATTGAGCCTCTCTTCAGAACCAGCATTCCAGGCCAACCACCAGAAAGACAAAAGCAGTTCCTGCCTCTCTAGTTCTGAAGAAAAGCGGGCAGCTGAAATTCTGTTGAAATCATTGCTGGAGAGTGGCAGTGTGGCACGGGTGCTGTTTCCTTCCCATGGTGAAGGGAAGAAGAATGAATTGCTCCGTTGGAACTGGAGTTTGAATGCCTGGGACAGGCAGGGCCTTCCCAGTTGTGACATCCAGACTATAGCACTGTCTTCCTCAGGAGACTGGATTGGCCCCATAATTACTAGCTTTCTAGCATCCTTTGTTTTGCCATTCTTTTGATCTGACTTAGCTTTCTTTTTTCCCAACAATCATCTTCTGGCATTCATTTCAGCTCTCTGATTTCATGTTATTGTTTCCTTGGATTTTCTCTTAACAAGAGATCTGAATGGGGCAGAGAGGTGGGAAACTAAATATTTTAATACATCACATTTTAGATTATTGTAGAATCCAACTTCTCTGGTTACAGAATTCAGGTGGTGGTTTGAACTGCTTTGAGTGTGGCTGATTATGGAAAGGAAGCATACAAATAAATTGTGGAAGCTGCAGGATCTCAGTTCTGTGTGATTTCTTAGGTTCTGTGTTTCCCTGTGCATCCTTTCTCATTTCATAGGACTTGTCCCAAAATCCTGGGGTTTCAAGGCAAACAAGACATCAGGGCGAACAAGTTGTACAGGGAGGGCTGCAGATGAGTGGGACTGTGGCAGACTCGAGTCGAAGCCCTGGCACCCAAGGTCTGCCTGGGCCTTCACTGGCCTTGGTGTGTCAGATTCCTGCAGCCAGTGGCGCCACAGGGGTTGGACACTGGGGCAGGGGTCCAGGGCACCCCAGCACAGCAGGGCAGGTTTAATCACGTTTGAAGGTTAGCAAAGCACTGCATGTAACCATTGGGAGTGCATTTTACGTCCGGAGTCTGTAATTACCCAGCGGCTCCGCCGTTTGCAGCCGGTGCACGCTAGCTGTGTCCAGCGAAGCCTCTCGTGATCTGCCCAGGCCGAGAGTGCGGTGCACGCTGACAAGCCTCATCTCACGCTCTGCAGGGGAAGCACCAGGCTAAAAATAAGCCTTAAATCAGGAGGCAATGATGTGTGTGTAATCTTCTTAGATTACGAGTGTGGAAGTGCAGCTTTTTGCTTTGCCCTAGGCCCGAGACGAAACAACAGAAAGTCACTTCCTCTGGGGGGTGGGGGGAACTGGGCTGGCATGAAGCGCTGCGCCGGTGGGTGGAGCGCCACCTAGTGGAACAGTGACCCAAGTTCAGCACGCGGAGCCCAAGAGAGATGTGGGAGGGAAGAAGGTGGAGCAGTTGCATTATCTAGGGTAGTAATTATATTGGAAACACTTGGAATGTTGTTGTTTGAGCCTGCAACAGAATGTTGCAGCGTGAAGGGCTGCCTGCAGTCATCTGCATTCTGCTCAGTGATTCTGATTTCTACCCCCGCTCCGTGTTTTTGCGCCCCCCCCCAGCTGGCCATGCTTTCTGCCGGCCTTAGGAAATTGGAGTGACTTCCAGGCTGAAGGATATAGAAATACAAAGCTTGGATGAGTGACGGATGCAGGCCAGACTGTGGCCTGTGACTGTGCCTGGGGCTCGCCCAATGGTTCGTATCGGGTGCAGAATTTGGTATTCTGGGAGTCCTGCATTCCACTTTCAGACACAATAGGCAACTCTTTAATACTCATGGATCTGAAGCTATGCTTGAGGCTGCCTGGGCAAATGTGCAGTGTTGATTTTTGCAAATAAATACATCTGTTAGTAGCCCTCAAACATGTTAGCTAACCTGCTTGCTGCAACTCACACCTTTTTTAAGCTGTGTGTTTGCAAAAAGAGGCAAAATACACAACCTGTGTAAAGTTTCCTTCCCTGGCCAGCTGCAGATGATTCTTTTTAAGTTACCACTGGTCTAGTGGCTACTAAATAGCCTTCTGTATCCTCCTGTGCAATCATTTCAGCTATGCTCAAGGACTCCCCGTATTCTGAGTTTGGAAAATGCTTGTTATGTTGTGTGTGTTCTGTAACTTGTCGATATGCTGAGCTTGGGACAATCAGGGTACAGCTGTTTTTCTACTGAATGGTTGAAGCTGAGAAATGGGTTTTAGGGTACAGAAAACTATTTCGCAGCTTTAGTTTTCACAAGGACTAAAAACTTGCATTTTTGGTACAAAGTATATTAAAATAGGCTTGAAAGTGTCTATGCAAATGTCCAGGCTCGAAAGGAGCTGAGCTAGCTTTCAAGATTGTTTGGGGTAGCTGCTTCAGTACCCAGAATAGGGCCTTGCTCCTCCCTGTGTGGAGAAGTGGCTCAAAATGTGCAAAGTTGCTCAATTTGTGTCGAAAAAATGGGTCTCGGAATGGATTTTTCTTTCCTGAGGGCACCCTATGCTTTGCAGACCTGGTGCCCTTGAGGGTTCTTGGCAGGCGGTCTGGTTGGAGGCATGGGATCTGATCTTTGCAGGAGGGAAGGCTCCTTCAGGCCAGAAGCTTTGTTTTGCTTTCTCACAGTTCCAGACTCTGTGGAAGAAGAGTGGATTTCTCAAGGCTCCTGAAGGCTCTGAAAAGGCGCATGCGTGCCACCGCTGGGCGGAGGGCTGAG